ATGGGCTGAGTTCAACCACAGTCCATTGACTCCTGTTGACCAGGAAATGAAAGAAGTGAGGGCAGATGCACAAGAACACCCAAACTTGCAGATAGTACCCATTTGGCCTAACCTCAATGGCTCGATAATCAGAACTCGACTAGAGGAAGATTACAAACCAAAAAAAAAAAAATTTTTTTTTTGATAAAGGAAACAAGGGTAAATTGCTACAATTTGATGAACTTGATTGATAAACTTGACCTATACTTATGGAGATAGTAACTCTAAATACCAAAAGAGAGGGAAGGAGTCATCACATCAAGTATTAATGCTATCCCCTCTGTACACAGGGTAGGTAGGAACGGGCCACTTAGACATTGGATACCTAAATGAGGGAGCGACAAAGGCATGAAGTGACTGGCTTACCAGGTTTCAAGAGGGAGTTTAGTTGAAGAGTATGGTGGGGAGGGGAGACAGAGTCCCCACTGAATAGCTTTCATCTTGTCTAGAAGATAAAAAGAAATGGGGGTAAGATCTGTGTGATTCAATAGTGAATAATTGTTATGACTAATCGTGACTGTCACAATGGTAAAGGTAGAAGTTTTGTAACAAAAAGAGGGGAGTGGTTAATCTTACAGTCCAGAAACAGGACCCTAGGACTATAAAGAAGAGCACAAGCAGAATGTGGGACCTTATTCAGAGAAGCAGCAATGCCAGACGGAGGAAGACAAGGGGTCATGGAGAGGAAGAGCAGCTGAGGACGCTAGATTCATGGGAAGAAAAGGACTAAGAGCTGATGGACAGGAGGCAGACTTGCAGAATGTGTTCTTTGATGGTGTAAATTATTATATATGCCCGAAAGGTTTTTTTAAAATCTAAAGTAAATAGAGAGAAATATTGTTAACAGATGGTACATGGAGGGGATTATAATCATTGTAATGAAACAGGGTGTATGATTTGTTAAATGTAAAACTGATGATCTGCCCTGTAAACTTTCACTCAATCCACAATAAAAACCTTTAAAAAAGTTCACAGAAAAATGGAATTTAACAATGTTTCCAAACTTTTTGAAGCCCCATGTACAAACAATAGGATATTAAATCACTAGTCATAAAGAGAAATGATATCCTGATACATCCTACACAATATGGGTGAGTCTTAAAATTGATATTAAATGAAATCAATCATAAAAGGGTTTATGATTTCACTTAACTGAAATACTTCCCATAGGCAAATGTATAAAGATCAACGCTTAATCCTTAATCATGGATAACAGGGATGGGAGGGAAGGGGGTACCATTGTTTAGGATGCACTGAGTTTGTTTATGGTGATGGAAAATTTGGCAATGAGTATTGACTGTGCCACATGACTGATTAAGTTGTTGTTGTTAGATTCCATCGAGTTGGCATCGACTCATAGCAACCCTATGCACATCACAAAGAAACACTGCCCGGTCCTGAGCCAACCTCACAATTGTTGCCACACTTGAGTGTAGGTGGTGTCACTGAATTATACACGCAAAACATGTTGAACTAGCAAATGAGTTTATTTCTATTTTTTTTACAACATTTTAAAAATGCACAGAAAAAAAGTAAGTATTATTTTAAAAAATGAAGAGGGTTTGCACTCAAATAAGATACAATCCTATCTGAAGGTAACTATCTGGTAAATCCATTCTCTTTTGTGGATTAAACATATTCAATAATTATAATTTTGATGATCATTATTAAATATTTCATTAGAGTTACAATCATTAAAAAGCAGAAGCAGGCTGTTGAGATTGGGGATAAGAAAGTCCCAGGAATATTCAAGTCCAGTTTGATTCTTCCTGATCCACTTCCATCCCACTCCCCTTCATGAAGACGTAGCAACCCACGAGGGAGAAACAAAAGTGAACCTCTACAGCCCTTCTCCCCACCGACAACAGTGGGTATAACCTCATGACCTGTAGAACTCATTTAAAGGATCTTCTTACTTCAAATAATCTCTCTAGAAGTCTGAGTAATGATGCAACCTGAAAAATAAACAGAAATCATTGAAACAACTTTGTCACTACCCACAGAAGTGACTACATTCAGATCAATGAATGGCACTTGTGGGAACTTCATTACTCTTTCACAAGCAGCAGTTTATGCAAAAAAGCATGTAATCATAATCCCTCTCACCAGGCACCAGAGCTCAGATTCCCGAATCAGACATTCTGAAGGACCTTATGCCTCAATTTTAGATAAAAGCACTAAGCTTGCTCCAAAGAACCAAACTGGGGTCTGAAATACTTGGTCAGCCTAATGCACTTGTTAGTACAGCTGCCAACGGGAACACCTCGAGAAGGTAAGGTTCTAGTCAAAGTTCTAATGACCTTTGGTGTTCACTTGGAGAAAAGAAAATTTAAATTGCTATTATGAACCAAAGTCTTGGAAGAGGATTTCTCAGTACAGTGAAGAATCTGTATCCTTTTATAAAACCTGAGATGGGAATTGCTCAGAAGTGACTGAATGAGACTGATGGAATTCTCAATTTTCTTGCTTTAACATATTTTCCTTTCAAAGTAAATAGAACTTTAAACCATATTACTGTTTGACACACACACATATATATATACTCTTTTCAATTACATATCCTCCTTTTCTTCACTCCAGTTTCACTTTATTTTGAGAGCAGGCCTTCCCTATAGCATACAAATATAAAACACAAGGGTTCTATGCAGCACTGAGTGCCAACACAAAACCACTGAAGGGAGGCTAAGAGTTTCTTGTGGGAAGAGCTTTAGTTCTCCCCGAGGATATACCACTTGTATCTTCTAACAACAGTGACACAATTCAATGTTGTTTGCTCCTGGTTTTAGTACAGAAAAAGAATAGGACAGAGTACATAACTTTTAGATATCTGTTTAGTAAACCTTATTTACAGCCTGCAGCTGTGGGAAAGAAGTATCTTTTAAGAAAAAATATTTACCTAAATGTAGTGTGATAAATAATGAATTATCAAATAAGCAAAAGTTAATCTAAGCATTCAGCACTAAAATCTGAGCAAAAAGAAAGTGGCAATAGTATTAAAGTGGCTACTTTTCCTCAATCTGACATTCTCCAAACAAAACTTAACAATAACAAAAAATACAGGTAACTTTGCTGCTTAAAATTTTATGATAGAAGAACACACATTTTGTTAAATAATGAGGAGAACGAAGCTGAATGCTATACAGCTTACGGAAGGCTCTGCATACAACAACAGTATCTCTTCACACTCTTGAAAGCAGTTTATAAATACCTCTAACTGCGGGATGTAAACAATACCTACCGATACATCAGGGCACTGCCCTTCTCATTGCCCAAGGCAAAATATCCACTTCTGGGAGAAAAATCCATAGTTTGAACACAAGAAATAGTCTTCCTTCTAACAACTGGAAAGTTTGAAAATACTGTACAAGAAGGAAGATGAACCTACAGGAGATTAACAAACAAAAAACACACACTTTAAATTGCGGAAACTAGGAATTCATCTTTCTTAAATTTCAATCTTCATTCTACCTTTTTGCTGAATGAGTTCATTTTGCAAACTGAATCAGAAAGTTCTTTTTGCTTGTAGTATATATAAAGCACAATTCTCTTAATGTAACAAATATTCCAAAATTAAATTTTTATTTTCAGTGTGCTATTAAGAGTCTTGGTATGGCGTTACATGATAATACACTGGACCATAAGGTCAGTCTGGTGTGGTCCTGTGGGTTAATGCGCCAGACTGCAAAGCGGTTTGAACTGCAAGGTTGGCGGTTCAAGCTCACCAGCAGCTCCTCAGAAACCCTATACAGGGATGCTATGGGTTGGAACCAAATCGACGGCACTTAACAACAACATAAGGAACTCTGGTAACAGTGATTACAAATCAGGCTGCTAACTTCAAGGTCGGCAGTTCGAAATTACCACCGGTTCCACAGGAGAAAGATGAGGCGTTCTGCTCCCGTAAGGATTTACAGCCTCGGAAACCCTGTGCAGGGTCACTATGAGTTGGAACCAACTCAGCAGTACTTAACAACAACAAGGTCAGTTTGAACTGCAAGGTCGGCAGTTCAAATTCGCCAGCCGCTGCTCGGAAACCCTAAACAGGGTTGCTAGGAGTTGGAACCAACTCAAAGGCACTTTGAGGCCCTGTATAGGTTTCTGAGGAGCAGCTGGTGAGCTTGAACCACTCATCTTGTGGTTCAAAATGACTTTGCAGTCCAGCACATTACCCCACGGAAACCTGGTTCATCAGATAAAAAAATTATCCTGATTTAGACAGCCAAAGCTAAAGAGAAGCACAATCTCTCTCTCTCTCTCCAGACCTGTACTTCCGGAGAAAACAGATCCTAGTCCAAGATAGGTGAGAGGAGTTCTCATTCAATTTCTGACCCAGCAGTGGCAGCAGTTATCTTAAGCAGACTAGGATGATAACAAAGGAGCCCTGGTGGCTCATGCTAAATGAAAGCAGCTCCATGGAACAAAGACCTGAAAGTCTGCTCCTATAAAGAGTGTTGCTGCTGGTTCTGACTCACAGGAACCCTGTACAACAGAGTAAAACCCTGCCCAGTCCTGAGCCATCCTCACAATTGTTGCAGTCTCTGCATCAATCCATCTCAGTGAGGCTCTTCCTCTTTTTCACTGATCCCCTACTTTAACAAGCACGATGTTCTGTCTCCAAGGACTGCTCCCTCCTGATAACATGCCTGAAGTAAGTGAAATGAAGTCTTGCCATCCTCACTTCTAAGAACATTCTGGCTGTATCTTTACAAGACAGATTTGTTCATTCTCCTGGTTGCTGTTAAGTGCTGTCGAGTTGGTTCCAATTCATAGTGACCCTATGTAGAGTTTGAACTGCTAACCTTGCGGTCCAGTGCTTAGTCCTACAATGCCACACTCCAACTCATGGTACATTCAACATCCTTGGCCAGCACCACAATTTAAATGCATCGATTCTTCTTCAGTCTTCCTTATTCACTGTCCAGCTCCTACACTGGACATGAGGCAACTGCAAATACCATGGCTTAGATTCAGGAGCACCTTAGTTCTCAAAGTTACATCTTTGGTTTTTAGCACTTTAAAGAAGTCTTTTGAAGCTGTTTTGTCCAATGCAATATACATTATTTGATTTCTTGAATTTCTTCCAAGGGGGTTAATTGTGGATCTAAGTAAAATGAAATCCTTGACAACTTCAGTATTTTCTCCGTTTATCATGAAGTTATTTACTGTTCAGTTGTGAGGTTTTTTGTTTTTTCTTATGTTGAGGTGTAATCCATACTGACACCTGTATGTACTTCAAAAATTGTCTTCCCTTTCAGCAAGCAAAGTTGTGGCAGCTGCATATCGCAAACTTTTAATGAGCCTTCCTCCAATCTTCATACAGTCCATAATCTTCTCATTATTTGCTCAACATACAGATTGAGTAAGTATGGTGAAAAAATACAACCCTGTCACATACCTTTCCTGATTTTAAACTATGCAGCATTCCCTTGTTCTGTTCCATTGCACTTCTCTATCATCTCTTTCAATTTGATTCCTGTGTATTCCATTTGGCAAGACCAATGTGGGTAGTCGCCTTTTATGTGATTGAAAAATGGCACTTCCAGTGAATAAACAGCTGGTCTTGCAAAATTCTATCGTGGGATCTCTCGGATCACCACCAAGGCCCTAGTTCCCAACTACTGACCTTAACTTCATTTCCAACTTTTGCATTCCAATCCCCAGTAATTATCAATGCATCTTGATTGCATGCTTGATCAAATTCAGACTGAAGAAGCTGGTTTTGTTGTTAAGTGACGCTGAGTTGGTTCCAACTATAGCAACCCTATACAGGGTTCTGAGGAGTGACTGGTAAGCTTGAATTACTGTACTGACCTTGTGGTTCAAACTGACTTTGCAGTCTAGCAACTTAACCCACATTGCTATACCAGGTCTTCCTTGTAAGCATATGCATACTATCCTATAACTTACAGCACTATACATTGAGGATAGATTTTGAAATGCTCTTTTTGATGTGAGGGTGTTCCTCTTCAATGTGTCATTCCTGACATAGTAGACCTTACTCTAATTCAAAATCGCTACTGCCAGTCCATATCAGCCCAGGACAGGAGTGCTGGTGGGGTGCAGCAGGATAAGCACTTGCTGCTAACCATGAGAATGCTGGTTCAAACCTACCAGATGCTCCTTAGAAACCCTATACAGAGTCACTACTGAGTCAGAACCAATTAGCGGCACTAACAACCATCGGAGTTCTGGTGTGGCATGTGGATTAATGCACCAGACTGCAAAGCCGTCTGAGCTATAAGGTCGGAGGTTCCAGCTCACCAGCTGATGTTGTTGTTGTCAGGTACCATCAAATGGGTATCAGCTCATAGTGACCTCATGCACAACAGAAAGACACAATATCTGATCCTGGGCCAAGCTCGCAATTGTTGCCACGCTTGAGCCCATCGATGCTGACACTTGGCCAATCCATCTCATTGGGGGTCTTCCTCTTTTTCTCTGACCCTCCACCGTAACAAACATGATATCCTTCTCCAGCGACTGCTCCCTCCTGACAATATGTCCACAGTAGGAGAGACGAAGTCTGGCCATCCTGGCCTCCAAGGAGCACTCTGGCTGCACTTCTTCCAACACAGATCTGATGGTTCTTTTGGCAGCCCATGGCACTTTTAATATTCTCCTCCAACACCATAACTCAAAAGCATCAATTCTTCTACAGTCTTCCTTATTCACTATCCAGCACTCACATGCATATGAGGTTATTGAAAACACCATGGCTTGGGTCAGGCACACGTTAGTCTTCAAGCTGACATCTTTGCTCTTCAACACTGTGAAAAGGTCTTGTGCAGATTTGCCTAATGCGATACATTGTTTGATTTCTTGATGGCTGCTTCCATGAGTGTTGATGGTTGATCCAAGAAGAATGAAGACCTTGACAACTTCAATCTTTTCTCCGTTGCTAAGAATGTTGTTTATTGGTCCAGTGGAAAGGATTTTTGTTTTCTTGACATTGAGATGCAATCCATATCGAAAGCTGTGATCTTTGATCTTCATCAGTAAATATTTTAAGTCTTCTTCACTTTCAGCAAGCAAGGTTGTATCACCTGCATATCGCAGGTTGTTAATGAGTCTTCCTCCAATCCTGATGCCACGTTTTTCTTCATAGAACTTAGTTTCCTGGATTATTTGCTCAGCATA